GGACGAGAATCGGTTCTTTGCAACGTGATATGGCCGTTGGCGATGTAAGACTAACAACAATTGCGTTTTCTTATCTTCCAGCACATATCTCTCGTGATGGTTCCCGAATACAAGCAATGCAATTGATAATAACCAAAATATGCGATTCGATCACTGAAGACATCCGCCGATGATTTGTTGGTCCCAAGAACGGATATTCCCCTGTGTCCAAGGAACATCTGACTCTACCACCTTCACCCGCAATCGTTCATTATACTAATAAGTAAGTAATATACACTTCTAGTTATTACATCGTTTGGTTTTTCAGCATCACGCAAAAATATTAGAGAAAGAATAGTTGTTTGAATTTATTAACTTAGATAGTGGGAATAAATAAAAAAAAATAGAGCCAACAGCACGTGGTGTTCCCAAGCGGTCACCCATCCAAGTACTAACCACGCTCAACGCTATTTAACTTCGATGATCGGACGAGAATCGGTTCTTTGCAACGTGATATGGCCGTTGGCGATTTAAGAATGACAACAATTGCGTTTTCTTATTTTTCAGCACATATCTCTCGTGGCGGCCCTCGAATACAAGCAATGCAATCGAAAATGACCAGAATATGCCGTTCGATGACTGAGGACATCCGCATGATGTCCATGATCCACATGATGATATATGGGTCCAAGGTCTTCCTATATTATTACTGTTATTAATAACTTTAATTCATTATCTAAATTCACATCTTTGTTACAGGTGAAGTGCATCGATCAGTTAAAATAACTCAAAATTCATTGAAAATACGCCAACAACCAACGAAGCCGTACACAGACGCCTGTCACCAGTGAAACAAGTAGTAAGTACATGGTATTTAATTATTATCAATCACCTTCATATAATCATTTGCATAAACAGTATTGGGAGATCATTTTTTGACCTGCTGAACTAAAATCATAGGCGCCATGCTGGCAATATCGATAGACGGCATGTACATTTATATTGTACATATACCAGTGGTTTCACCCCATGAATAAATGATAAAATGATATCACGTCGACCGAGCGTTCGACACGTGACAACAGAGCTTACACGTTCGAAAACATTTTCTTTTTGCCATTCGACACGGGGAATATTTGAATATCGTCGATGGTTCCATTACGACAGATGGTCGGACTCATTATTTGGTGAAATCGAGCTCGTCGAAAATTTATGCACACTCTCACGCTCCGCGCGCAAAATCATTTCCAAAATTCACGGGATGCTCTGCTCGGCTAATTTTCGGTATACACGAACACATGGTCGCATACACGCGCACACATACGTGTCCGGTATGCGTACATATAATGTATGCGGCACTAACACGACGAAGAGATCGAATATACGCATACACGAGCCACGGAGACACGTGTTGGTGCGGGAAAACGCGAAGCGTACGCGCGCACGCGCGCGCCCCAGCGAAACATGTGCAGAGCTACACGAACAGGAAAGGTGTATTGAATCGACGAGTATCATGCAGCTGACAGCTAGAGCTAATTGAATCTTGACTCTATCTATCTGTCGACTCGAGCTGAGACTCGACTACCGCCGCGAATTGCATTTCCGTTCGACAGAATCGTTCGCGCTCGAGAATTCTATCTTCTCTCCCCTCCACTCGGTCCTTAATCCTCATCGTTTTTGTAATGTAGATGTATGCGGAGAAGCCCGAACGACGAAACTGTTGGTGACAGTCCTGTTTCTTTTAATCGGCCAGCACCGGGGATCGTTTATGAACACTGCAGACGATTAAGAAATGTTTGAACTTCTTTATTATTCGTACCCCTTTTCATACCTAAATAGGTGATCCACATACAGTAACATCGATTGTATAAATCTCCACTATAACCAAGTAACCGTTCCATTGACTATACAATCACGTTTTCCTGACTAGTTTGTATAACTTTGGTATAAGTAATACAACCCAGAAAATGTGTATTTGAAATCGTCTTCATTGTTTGAGATAGTTATTGTGATCAAATGCATATATACAGTAAATTCCCCCTCATTGACGCTCGGATTGTACACAAAAATGGACCATTTGCTAAGGGGAGATACAAGCCTTGCGGCATATTATTAGAATTATAAAAACGTGCCGCGAGGCTCGAATAATCGTATCTCTTCTCCAATTGTCCATTTTTGTGCAGAATCTGTGCATCAATTAGGAAGAATTTACTGTACGTACTTGAAGCTGCTTTATGAATATAATTCTTTTGGTATGTCTGATTATTAAACTAATGTCCGATTATGTCCAAACACCAGTTTTCGCCTCTCCTGGGAAACATATCCCCCTTCTCGGCGCGCGATATAATTTATTCTCTCGCACGAAAATAAAAACAACAGAAATCTATTTTCCAGTTAGAACCCGTTCGCTGGTGCTGCCTGTACATCCCCGGCTCTCATATATTTTATTTCATACAAATTTCCGAACTGGAACTTTTACTCAAACTTTATTTCCACCATTCATATTCACATTGTTTACCGCCATTGCACGGCCCGAGCCCCGTCCCCCGAATCGGCATCGCCAAACCAGAAAAGCAGAAAAATGATGCATATAGTTGTATGTATATAATATATATATATACACACACACACACATATATATATATATACACTATATATACATACACACACACATATAATACACAGCGTCAACCGAGCCCGGTGAATTGAATTCGTTAATTCTCCGCGCGGTTTCGATTACCGTCGAGAAGCTGCGCCCTTTTTATTCCGATTTTAATTTCCCTCCGTCGAATCGACTCGAATCGGCGGGTATACGCGATTGATATAACGTTTTAACATCGTTTTAATTGATCCGGCCATTCACGTGGATTCGAAGCGATCAGGGTGGACCGTGGGGTAGGCCAATGGTGGCAAGGGAGGGGGAAGGACTCCGTGATTGAGAATTGCGCGTTTCGAATACGCGAAAGAATACCATGGAATTCTGTGGCGGCCGGCGTGCGTGTAGGTGATGTAGGTATCACTTATCCGAGAGCGGGGCGATACCAGCCATTTTCAATTTATTTCAAGAGTCTTTTCGTGGCGGAGGAAAGAAGGGTGACTACCGTCGACTACCACCAGAGAGATACCTATACAACGACCAATCGTGCTCTTTCCACCACCTCCCATGGCGCCCGCCACCAATAACTGTATCCCGAACCCGATGTTAAAGCCCAGAACCTACGCTCTCCGCGAAGATAATTTAAAACCTGTATACTTGAGACAATAGTTTATTAACACGTGGTCCGTTGAATCACCACCACCACCACCACCACAGGAAACCCCGAAAAGTCAAAGTAATTGAATTAGACGATTATTTACAAAACGGATTCACTCAAGATGATTAGGTTGACAGTTTGAAAATTATCGAGGTCGAAGGGTGATACCTTTTTATAACTATTTACCACTTAGTTGATAAGACCGAAATTGCGGAGTCGAAGTTTATCGTGGTAATTAAAATTGCATATTTTTTAATCAGGATCTTCGAATAGACTTTACGAACTAGTGAAATAGAGGTAATCGCATACGCAGAAATATTGCTCGACAGTTTTTTCACACAGATTCGGCCTTTTTCAGGTTCATAAGCAGCTCGAAAACGCTTTGTACGATCCCTCAAACGATGTTTCGTATATAGTTAATACTCGCTCTCCGATAACATATTACGAAATAACGGTCAAGTAGCTGCGTGCTTGAAAATCATTTGAAACGGCCGTTTAAAAAAAACCTTCTGATATTTTTGCCTCGTTAATTTCTTCCACGAACGTGCTCTTAAAAAATACACAGAGAATATATGCTCGCAAAATTAAACCCGTACAAGTGTGTATAGACGGCGGTGAGTACGAGGAAAAAAGCGCGGGACGAGAGCCATTTTCAAAAAAGGAAAAGCCGGGGAACATTTCACTTCGTGCCCGCAGGAAACATGAAATAATAAACAATAAATCTGTTCCTTCAATTGGTTTTACTTTACTAAAATATTTAAATTCGCGTTTTCATAATTTAATTTAATTTAATTTTTAATTATTTAATACTTTAATTTTTGATTATGACGCTAAAGTTCCACGCAGAAAGGCATAGTTAAATAGATACAGTTCATGAAAGACCAGCATATCGCGCTGGTAAATACCTGCTGAATACTTCCACGCGTTTCCTTCAAATTAGATAAATAGGATCCGTATTTTTGTCTAAGATAACTTTTTTTTTATCGTAGGTCAAACGATAATTAGAAGAACAGATATCTATCGCGTCAATCATCGATGAAACAATTTTTGGAGTGTTCTGATCCAAGCTACGCTTTTGATGCAAGTGCCATTTAAAAAAGTATAAGTAACACGATAGATGTATAATAAAATCATTGACAAAGTTTGAGATTAATTCATTTTTTTGAGAAAACATAAAAAAGTCGATATTTGTTATTTAAAAAAGAAAAAAAAACATAGAAGAAATTCGTCTCTTTGAATCCACAAGCGTTGAACTTGATCCCCCGGCTGTTTCCAGGTGCATGCGGCAAAAATAGTGGTTTCGTACGCATAAAACGCGAATATAACAAACACGGTGAGAGGGTGGTGGGAGCCAACGAGGAAGCGAGAGAGGGCGTTGCGGCCGCGGAATTATTGAACCCCATTGCAAATGTGAGAGAACAGTCGAGGAACGGAGAGAGGGAAGGCGCTAGGTAACGTGGGAGGTGGATGAGAGCGAGAGAGTTGTAAAAATAACGCAGTTAATTAGCAGCAAACCACTTTAGCGAGCTCGAGCCCAGTGCACACACTGTAATAAGCAAAGAACAACTCACGGGCGAAAAACGCCCTCGAACGCGAGGCAACTGAAACGCGCCAAGGCTCAGACGAGTCTCTCTCTCTTTCTCAAACACTCTCTCCTTTCCTCTCTCACTCTCTCGCTCTCTTTCCCCTCTTCGTCCCTCGTCTCCTCCTTTTCGTTTCTGTTTTGCTTTTCTCCTCGTTCCTTCTTTCAACTCCCGCGGCTCCTCCCCATCACTCCGACTCGCTCTTTCGTTGCGTACTGTTTCCTCCTTTACCGGTCGGCTCAACCGAGTCGACCATAAACAACGGACGTTTTAACAATTTCGCTGTTGCACGCCGCCTCGAAACTCATTGTGCCGCGTAAAACAACCCCGTTCTCTCGCCGCTCGTAGGCCTGTTTGTTTCGCGATTTACCGTCTCAGCCCGCGCAGAATTAATTTCGCATCCCCTCCCCACTGTAGCCGGCTCTGATGCCTTTTTTTTCAACCCTCCGGGATGGTTGATGCGGGGCACTTTAATTGCCTGCTGACCGTTTACGCGAATCTAGAAATAATGGTAATGTTAACGTGCCGAGAACGTGGTGACTGCAGTCGTCAATTCCACCCACGAGATCTCTTCTTATTGGAGAGCATGATGCAAATAATTGTATTAAAGAGCATTGCACAATCGTATTCGCAACATCGACCGAATATTTCCTGACAGCTATAGGATTTACATTTTCTTAAGTTGCAAACATAGAAGTGAAACTATATAAAATTCTATTAAATCTAACATTTCATAATATTTTTAGGTTCATCGTGGAGTTCGACACAAAGTTTACAATTTTGGGGAGACAGAACAGTGCCAATTAGATTCGCGACCGCTCGAATTAAGGAGCAGAGATCAAGGGGTCGTTCGCGACGGACAAAGGCAAGGGAAAAGTTTTCCTTGAGAGAAAGAAAAACGAGAAGCGTAGATGTCAGAGGCTGTCACACGCACAATCGCGAAAGATAGAAACGATTCGCACTTGGGAGGAGAGGGGAACCCCTTCTACCGATGCGATCCCCTTTCTGGTCACCGACAATGGTCCACAGGGAGAAATTGAATTGGCAACATCAGTAAACGACGCCGGAGTTCCTACAGCACCCCCGAAAAGGAGCGAGAAACGTGAACGAGCGGGACGAAAGTGAGCTCGTGGAAGGGGTTGCTGGCTGAAGAGGGAAAGAGACGGTGAACAGGGACGCGTTTCACGCCTCGTGGATTTCAAACCGTTTGAAATCCAGGTGGAAATAATACAACTTTGCGTTCCTTGTTAAAGATCAAAGGGAACTTACCCCAATCTCGATTTCGACGGTCCTAGGTTTCTCTTTCTCTGTTTCTCCCGTTCCTTTCGATACATACAGCCAACGGTAAGACGTTTCATATCCGTGGGCTCTATTCAAAACCATTTACGAATAGCATCGTATTGTTTTTCCCCAATACAACCGAGTCTTTTGTCTCGACTGCGACGATACGCGGGCCTATTTTTTTCATTTCTCTTAGTGCCAGATATGCAACCGCACATACAATTTCAGTCTACTGTTTGATTTCAAAAACTTCAATTAATGTTCAACTGCGGCGAGCGATATTACAGTCATTAGCATTATGCGATATGACATTTGGTCAACCATCGCTTATACCGGCAATAAAACTAAAACTAAATTGGTTTAGAACATGAGAATATCGAAATAGGCATATCAGTTTAGTCTCTAATGAACACAACATGCACTTCATATTTTCTTACATACATATATTTAGTATGAATTAGGCGCTTTTCGAATTCTTACGACTGCGAGCATAGAATTGAGAGAAAATAAAAATATCTATCAAAATGAATCATCTAATGCTATAATACAACGCTATATCATCAAATTTCTTACATTATTGTTTATATTTGTATTTATTGTTTCATATAATATTTTTGTGTTATTCAGAACAAGCACACGACGTAATAAATAGCAATGTATATTACTTACTTATTGCTTTTATGAATGGAATTCAGGCATTCCTCGGGCACAAAAAAAAATCTTTCCTTGAGACCCATAAATCATCTGCGGACGTCCTCAGTGATCGAACCGCATATTCTAGTTATTGTCAACTGCATTACTTGAATTCGAGATCCGTCACGAGAGATATGTGCTGGAAAATAAGAAAACACAATTGTTGTCATCCATACATCGCCAACGGCCATATCACGTTGCAAAAAACCGATTCTCGTCCGATCATCGAAGTTAAACAGCGTTGAGCGTGGTTAGTACTTGGATGGGTGACCGCCTGGGAACACCACGTGCTGTTGGCACTATTTTTTTTTATTTATTCCCACTATCTAAATTAATAAATTCAAACAACTATTCTTTCCCTAATATTTTTGCGTGATGCTGAAAAACCAAACGATGCAATAACTAGAAGTGTATATTACTTACTTATTAGTATAATGAACGATTGCGGGTGAAGGTGGTAGTCAGATGTTCCTTGGACACAGGGGAATATCCGTTCTTGGGACCAACAAATCATCGGCGGATGTCTTCAGTGATCGAATCGCATATTTTGGTTATTATCAATTGCATTGCTTGTATTCGGGAACCATCACGAGAGATATNAGAAAACATAATTTTTGTCACAGTCATTCGGCCAATGACCATATCTCGTTGGAAGAAACCAAAAAAAAATAGAGTCGCCGCGCCGCGCTGCGCCGTCCACTGCAACCGGCATAGCAGCAATATCCGAATCCCTAACCCGGGGAGCAAAACGTTTGGAAAAAAAAATAATAATAAACATGTAAAAACAAATTAAAGGGAAGCGTAACATCCCCCATGAACGGCAAAGAGACAAAAACAGATAAGGGAGCGAAATACTCCCGCTACGTAAAATATAAAATTATCCAAGCGCATTGGACGTTCGAAAATGCCAAAGATGGTTCTCCAAGTTCAGATCAGGCAATTTTGATCTCTCGGACGCCCATCGATCAGGAAGACCAACAACATTAGATAACGATGTG